GAGTTTTGGGAATACTGTGTATTACTAGAGTGTTAGTTATTGTACATGCCGAGCGACATTGTTACCAGTTATTTAGTTATCTGTTGTAGTTAGTTGTTAAGTTTTGCTTCTATTTTTTTTGTTATTTCTGCATTTTGTTAGGCTTACCTAGTCGTAGAGACTAGGTGCCGTCACGATGTCTTACGGAGGGAGAATTGGGTCGTGACACTTTCCTCCTTTATTAAGAGTGTTTTGTATGAGAGTTGAGTGTTGGGAAGCAATTGTGTGAACCCTTTCTTTGGAGTGATCTTGTGAGGTTATTCTCTTGGGGTATTTGGGAATTAGAGTATTTACTCTAATTTTGTACTCTCTTTTGTACTCTTGTTAGTATAGTAAAATTGCTCCTCTCCGCTTGTGGACGTAGGTCACACTGACCGAACTACGTTAAATTGATGTCTTCTTTATATGCTTTAATTGCCGTTATTATCAACTTGCATTGTCTTTGTTATTGTCATTATAATATTATTTGGCTAAATTTCGTACTACCCGAGTTTTCGATCTTAATAAATTGGTATCAAAGTCTGATCTAACCGGGTTAGTTTTAATAGCCAAAATGACTCTAACAAAGACCTATGTTGAGAAATTTGATCGAAGTGCAAATTTCGGAATATGAAAATTAAAGATGGAAGCTATCCTAATTCAGGATGGCTTAGACTTTGCGTTGCAAGAAAAGGAGAAGAAGCCGGACAAAATGATGAACGAGGAGTTTGCCGTCATAGACAAAAAGGCAAAAGCAGGTATCATTTTAAATCTCTCAAATGAGGTTTTATGTGAAGTTTCTATAGAAACCACATCCAAAGGCATGTGAAAAAAATTGAAAACCTTATATATAAAGAGGACGATGAAAAATATACTTTACCTGAAGCAGAAGCTTTATACAATTCGTATGGGTGAAGGTACCTCTATTCTCTCTCATCTTGACACCTTTGATTCCATTCTTATGGATTTGAATAATATAGATGTTGAAATTAAAGATGAGGATCAAGCCGTGTTACTGCTTTGTTCTCTACCCTCATCTTTTAAGCATATAAGAGATACTATGCTTTATGCAAAGGATAATATCTCTTATAAGGATATTAAATCTATCTTAAAATCAAAAGAACATATAAATAGTGATATTACTGGGAAAGCTGGTTGAACTCAAGCGGAAGTTGGCTTGTTTGTTAGGGGCAAATCCGACTCCATATCCAGATACAATAATTTAGAGTGTCGCTATTGTCATAAGAAAGGTCACATTATCTCTGAATGTTATAAACTGAAAAATAAAGAAAAGCATAAAAAAAAAAGAAAAAATGAGCACAAAAATATTGACACCGCCGAAACTAGTGTAGCAACTGATGAGATTGAGGGAACTATATTTTTAGCAACTTAAACTAGTTTCAGATTAGACAATGAGTGGATTTTAGATTCAGGTTGTTCATATCATATGTGTCATAGCAGGGACTTGTTTTCTACATATGATTCAGTTGCAGGTGGAGTTGTCCAATTGGGTAACAATGTTACTTGTAACGTTATTGGCAAGGGTACAATTCGAATCAGAATGCACGATGGTGTGGTGAGAACTCTCACCGATAATAGATACATTCCTAAGTTGAAGAAAAATCTCATCTCTTGGGGCACTTTAGAATCCCTTGGGTGCAAATTCACCAGTGAAGGTGGAGTTCTAAAAAAAATTCAAGTTGCTCTTGTGATCATGAAAGCACACAGATCTGGTTCGTTGTTTACTTTATTGGGCTCCACTGTTATAGGCCCTACTACAGTTTCGGTATCAGACAACTTGTCTGATTTTGATGGCATTAAATTTTGACATATGCCCATTGGAGCTTTTGCGGAGAAGGTGGAGCAAATTTACTATATCAGCCAAAAATAGGCCAAGGTGAAGATTTGTAATTATGACCAATATTTTGGCTAATGGAATCCATTTCACATAAGTATAAGCATATTTGCAAAGTGTAGACTTTGTTGGCAATATTCTTTGGGACCCAAAAAATATTGCATTGTGTGGTGGACATCATTTGCACAAGTTGTATCTCTTATTTTACACCTAAGAGGCCAAGACTTTTTTGCATATAAAAGGGAAGGTCATTAGTTCATTTTAGACACACCAACAAGACTTGAGTCTTCATTTCTTGTTTTCTTCGTTTCCTTCTTTATTAAGAGTGTTTTGTATGAGAGTTGAGTGTTGGGAAGCATTTGTGTGAACCCTTTCTTTGGAGTGATCTTGTGAGGTTATTCTCTTGGGGTATTTGGGAATTAGAGTATTTACTCTAATTTTGTACTCTCTTTTGTACTCTTGTTGGTATAGTAAAATTGCTCATCTCCGCTTGTGGGCGTAGGTCACACTAACCGAACCACGTTAAATCGGTGTCTTCTTTATATGCTTTAATTGCTGTTATTATCAACCTGTATTGTCTTTGTTATTGTCATTATAACATTATTTGGCTAAATTCCGCACTACCCGAGTTTCCGATCCTAACAGTCACGTTGGATATTGTGTTATTTGTCTATTTAATATGATAATTGTGATATTTTGTGTGCTCGTTGGTTTTATTTTGCTGAGCTCATTTAAAAACGGATGATTATGTCATAATTGATATAGAAAAGATAAAATGAGGGAGTGAAGGTTATGTTGTCCGTGTATAAATTTATGTGGTCGCAAGTTTTATGTTACAAATTTATTTAAAAGAAATGCTTATGGGCGAAGGTGAAAACTCATGGATCAAATAGCACTTTTCATGATCCAGTAGAGTTATGTGACACATCGAAAAGAGTCCCATATGCTCCTATTACTCTGCCTCTAGATTAATGGACTTGTATTCGTATGTGTCATTGTATTATGTGCGGAGAGGAGTGAGAAAGATGGGATTGCTTTAAATTAATCATTTTCAAGGTATATATATATATATATATATATATATAAAAGATTTCGGTCGAAATTTACGGGGTCCGATGACCCCTCACCCAAACACATGGGTCCGCCTCTGGTTCTACTGTCCCTGCTTATTAGAAGGTGTCCTGTTTTATGCTGGGTCGCAAAAATATGCTTACCTGATTTTAAGCTTCTTATTTGGTTATACTTCACAAAGAACCTTTCTTTTCTTCTATGGTATTCTCGTGATTTCTCTTCCTCATTATTCAATGACGATAAAACATATGTCCTCCTTTAATATATTTCAGATGAGTTGTTATGATTTTCTAATCGTCGAATCCATGATATAAAAGGGATTCTTTGAAAATCAACACGGGCTATGATGAAACTCTTCTAAGCAAAGTTATTCTTCTCTCACGAAATCAAAATACATAACCACCGGTAGCTTTCTATTAGCTATTGGACTGAAATTACACATTACTTTTAACTAAAGGTTATATGCGCATGACCGAATAATACAGAAATTAAAATCCAAATAAGGTAGTAACTCAGAAAACTAAATATCACTATATTTTCATATTTGCTCGACCGCACTATGTCACTGATTTGGTCCAATCGGTTATTTTATAAATTTGTACCATACTAAATTTTCAGTTACTTTATTTTACTATATAACGAAAGTTAGACTTCCAAAAATATTCCAATTATCTCGTTTTCTCTTCGGTATTGGTATGATTCGTTTAATTTTCAATATTATTTTTAAAATATTATGTAAGAATCACTAGTATAAGTTAGAACGCGATAATACGCATACTTGCATAGGACTTTGGTAAAACTCTCTAGATATTTTTATAGTAATGTAAAACATATTAAGCAAAAACAAGAGAAATATAAATCACACGAATAGAAAGATATTAATCAAGTCGAGACTCAAATAGAGTATATTAGAAGATTAAGTATCCAACAAGAGAAATATAAATCATACGAGAAGAAATATACCCAATATTTTGTGGCTTGCTACTCAAGAACGCTAAAATACCTTGTGGCTTGGTACTCAAGATGTTGGAATTAATTTAGTTTCAACAGAAATACTATAATAGATTTGAAAGTTGAAATTTTGGGGTTAATTACCCGTTGGCTTGTAGCCGTTTCCTTAGTCTCAAGGTTTAATATTTTATTATTTTTAAATTTAATATATAAAATATATTTTTCGTATATAAATTTATTCGATACAGTTCGGTATTTTTTCGATTTATTTTTATAAAATTAAAAATCTATCTTAATTATTCGATACAGTTATATATTTATATAAAAATCTATGATTTTATGATAAGAAATCTAATAATCGATTCGGTATAGTAGGGTTCAATGCACTCCTATATATAAGTAATATATTAATTTGGCAAGAATTAGTATACTCGGGTTCAAATAGTTGTCACTCTTTACTTCCCGAAACCAATCAAAATAATCTTCATGTACTTATTAATGTTGGAGAGATGAATTTGATCTAAATCGAAATTTCGTTTAACGGATCCTGATAAGAGAAAAAGGACAAACAATTAATAGCACATGAATACGTATAATAAAAAGAAAAAAATAGAGCGTAATATAAAATAAAGAGATTGTTATCCGATTTCCAAAATCTAGAGCTTTCTACAAATTACGGGCCTAACTGAGGATGGATGGAACCATTTCCTCGTACTGTACTAACTCTATTATTCAATATTGATCTAGAAGCCCTATTTTGTCACCCTTTCTCTTGAATTTATCTTCTAGCAGTAGCTCGTCACGTAGCACCTAGCTCAAGGTTTCTTCTTTATTTTGTATATTGACTAGTTGTAAGTGGCGGGACATCAAAAATTTTGTGCAAGCAGGTTCAATCTTAGAGGTACATGATTTTAGTCGTTAACTAATAGTTGTTAAGTGAGTTCAAATAAAATATTTATATAAAATTTATATAGTTTTAATCGTAATTTATACATATACACAATATTATTTTTTGACGAAGCTGACCACGTGCGTCCACCACAGGTTGCAAGCCTACTCGCCAAACCAACCATGGATGCAGATGCAACATAGGAAACTTGAAATGTTCAGAGCATATACTGCACACTGCAGGTTATCGCTTAATATAGCACTTGGCCAAATACAGTACTCCATAACAATATAGAACAAGTAGGCATATATACAATTTTACAACCACAAAGCTAAAAATTACACACGCACGCGGGCGTATATATATGTATATTACTCTACTTAGTAGAAGAGAAAAAGAAGAAGTAGAATCAAGCTCTAAATGAATGACAGAGTGGTAAGATATAGGTGAGGATTGGAAGTGGAAGAGGAGGCAAAAGGAAGACTTCGAAGAATGAGGAAGCGGACCCGCCTAGGAAAGGGCAAAGGAGCTTGCTGGAACATATGCTCCAGCACCCTCGCTAACAGCACCGTGTATTCCTCCAACAACTCCGCCATGATTGCCACCGGTATCATCTCGATTTCGAACTCGATCTCGATCAATCTCTTTTCCTCTTTATCTTTATTTTTCACCTTTTTAATGTTTTCGCCGCCAAACACCTGTTGGAGTATATATTATAGGCTCTTACTCTTTAATCTCTCTCCTGCCCTTAAGAATCCATTTATAAATGCTTTAGCTCCGTTGGATAAAACGACTATACTATTACGGGACGTTTGATACGCGGATTAAATTATTCCGAAATTATAATCTTTGAAGTATTAATTTATATCACATAAAAGATGGGATAAAATAATGTCATATTTGATAGGATAAGATAAAATATCCTGGATTAAGTTTGAGATTAAATTTATACCTTATTTAATTTACTATATAAATTTATATTTCCAACCAAACAAGTTATATATTTTATCCTACTTCTTATCTCACCTTATGCGTACCAAACCAAACGACTGCTCAGTATTCTATATGGCCCCTGCCGCCCCCTGGGTTCTTCCTTCTCCACTGTTTTCTTTCTATCCTCCTTTTTCGTTGTCCCATTGTTTTCGATCACTTTTCTTTCTTCTTTTCTTTTTCTTTCTTAATTTTGAGATTTCTTAATAGATAAGGAATACTGGTCCCACGCGATAGTCTTCCTTAAATAAGGTTACTTGAAGAGTTAATTTTTTCATTTCGTAATTTAATCTTGCGTTTGGAGATAATATTATTTTATTTATTTCTAAAATCGTGAAAAAACTAAAACATCAATTCATACTAGTGTATGAATATAATTGGAATTTTTTTTTTAATTTGGAAATTTGAAAAACCAAACTGTAAGGGACAATAATCTTTTTTATATATTTACTTAAATTTAATTATTGACTCATAAATAGGGAAGAAGAAAAGGAAAATCATTAACCAGCCACAGGAATAACAAAAGTTGCAAGCTCACTTTGTTTCTCAACATTTGTAGCGGATGTTGTCGTCAGGGGGAACCGGATCTCATCCTTATCAACTTTGCGCTATTTGCCTGATTGATTACCGAGTGTGGGCGCTTCTGATCTTGTTGCTACTTTTCTTTCTAACTAACAACATTCATTTCCTTTTAAGTACTTTTCTTCAATTTATGTGATGATGTTTAATCACATATGGAGTCAAAAATCATTTATTGGCTATAAATCGTCACATTAAGAAGTCATTTGTTATATTGTATAAGGCAAACAATTTTGATGTAAAATCTTATATTAAGTTACTGTGATGATCTGATAGGTCATCTTTAATTTTAATTTTAATTTCTGTATTCAGAGACCCCGAATAGCTCCATTTAGCTTTCTTCGAGTTGCGTGCGCATCCCTTGTCTTAATTCGAGAGATTTTTATGTAAAAAATTGATAAAAAGGTGAAATTATGCTTTAAAATTTATTTGAGTTGACTCCTGTCAACGTTTTGAGCAAACGGACCCGGATCAGTGTTCTAACGATTCTAGTGGGTCCGTATCATGATTTGAGATTTGGGCGTATGCCCGGAATTGAATTCAAAGGTCCCTAACTTGAATTATCGCCATTTGTTGAAAAGTGAAAATTTAAAGGTTTAAAGATTCTAAAATTTGACCACAAATTGATTTTGTTGATATCGGGTTCGGATTGCGATTCCGAGAGTTTGAATAGCTCTGTTATGTCATTTGGGACTTACTTACAAAATTTGAAGTTATTCCGGATTGATTTGACATGTTTCGGCGCGAATTATAGAATTGAAACTTTCATAAATTCATTAATTCGAATCGAGGTACGATTTGTAGTTTTGACGTGATTTGAGACCTCGAGTAGGTCCGTGTTACGTTATAGGACTTATTAATATATTCGGACTAGGTCCCGAGTGGCTCGAGTGAGTTTCTGACGAGTTTCAGATCATTTTTGGTCAAGAAGGCAGGTCTGGTTCTGGTGCGTCGCACTTGCGAAGTCCCTGAGCGTAGGTGCGTGGTCGCTCCTGCGGAATTTTTGGTCGCTTCTGCGACGTAGGCACATGCTTGTTCTGTCACTCCTGCGGAGATTTTTGGTGCAGGTGCGCATTCGCAATTGCGAAGGGCGAGCCCGCTTCTGTGGTCGTTTGGGCGCGTCCGCGATTGTCGCAGGTGCGACATTTTCTTGCGCAGGTGCGGACCTCTGCCTGGCAAGCTTGCTTCGCAAATGCGAGCCTTTTCTCACAAATGCGAGCTCGCAGGCGCGCACACCATTCCACATGTGCAAAAGAGCTAGGTAGAATGCTTGAGTTAAGGGGGTCGACATTTATGTTCATTTTTAGAGTTTTAGACCTCGATTTTGGACGATTTCAGAGAGATTCTTCACAAGTTTGAGTTGGGTAAGTATTCTTTATCCGAAATTAGTTATATTTCTTGATTTCATACTTATTTACATCATTAATTAGTGAATTGAATGGAAGCAAATGGGATATCTGAAAAATCTTCCAAAAATGAAAAATAAGGATTTGAAGGGCGATTCGATATTCGAATTCGAAAATTATTGTATGGTTGGACTCGTATTAGAACGGGTGTTCCGATTTCGTGAATTTTTATTGGTTCCAAAGTGTGGGCCATGCGTTGACATTCGGTTGACTTTTGTTAATTTCGTTCAATAATAATTTAAATTGAACTCCTTTCATTTGTGAGTAATTTCTAAAACTTATTTTGAATCGTTTGGTCAATAATTTGCTAGATTTTGTTGGTTTGGAGGCTTGTTCGAAAGGCAAGATCGTGGTTGAATTTTTAGTTGATTGCGGAGTGCGGTAAGTATTGAGTTTAACCTTGATTTGAGGGAATTAGAAACCCTTGAGCTAGGTGCTATGTGAATTACATGTGTAGCGGATAGGCGAGGTGACGAGTGTCTATACGCAGTCCAATTCTTATTTCCATGCTTTTCCGTATTTCATTAATTACTTTATTTCGGGACTTAACTGTTATTTTACTTGTTCCCCTTATCTTCCTTGCGTATGCCATCTCCAACCCTCCTCCATTTCTCCATAATGGGGGCAACTTTTGTCATAATGGAGCTCCAACCCTCCCTCATTTTTGCCTCCAAAATGGGGGATGAATAGTGTTCCTCCAAATATGGGGGCACTATTCATCTCCCCCATTACTATTCATGCATATTTTATTATTATTATTATTATTATTATTTAACTCTTTTAATTTATCTCTTTATATATACCTAATTATGTTTATGTAATATCTTTATAATATTAATTTTACATCTTAACTTTGGCGTATAATTTTGATAAATTAATTTTCGTGCATTTATTATTTTTATGTAAAATTGTAAGTTAATTTTATTATAGGTTATAATATTTAATATGAATTTTACCATTATGTAATTTGTATTGAATTATCTTGTATCTCAATGATTTCACTTTTATTTGAATTATCCTTTAATATATATAATGTATAATATTTGCTTATAAATTATATTATTTAAAAATTTATGGCGTAAAATAATTTTATATTAAATTATATGTGATGAATATGTAAAAAAGAAAAAAAGATAGATTTTATTTAATAGAAATAAGAAAATAAAATTTATATAAAGATAATAGTATAATATTGAAGAGAGAGAAGAATATAAAATGGAATATTCTTTTTTGAAGTAAAAATGGAGTAATGGTTGGAGTAACTTTCTTGCATTTTAGAGATTACTGCATTTTGGAGGAGAAAATGGAGGTAAGGGTTGGAGATGGCCTTAATATTATGTCTTGATTCCATGCCTTAATTGCTACATGCTTATTTGGCCTTCATGTCATAATCGCTACTTGACATTTAACATTTTCTTGTATTAAATTGCCCATCCTCTCCCTGATTCCACATTTATTTGTTACTTGTCCCTATTTGTTTCCCTCATATATCGAAATTGTCGTATGCCTTGTTGCCTTAAAGTTTTGTATTAATTGTTGCCTTCGTTGAAGTAGTTTCACTTATAAGTATTGTAAATTTATATTATTTTGGGAGCAGGTTCCACGCCGCAATGGAAATTGAAAGGAAATGAATTGAAAAGGCTGAATAAATGGATTATGATATTAATAGATGATTATATGGAGGGGTCGGGTTGCGCACCGCAATAAATTTATTTAAAATTTATATTGTGGGATCGGGTTGCGCGCCGAAACGTATTTATTTAAAGTTTACATTGTGGGATCGGGTTGCACGCCGCAACATATTGATAAAAGCAATAATTGATTGTGACTGCTCATTTGGCCTCGATTGTTGAGATGAGTTATATGACTGATTATTCGGAATTCTCTGCTAGCTGATTTGAGCTTCGTTGATATGAGTTACCTACTTTATCTCTATTCCTATTTTTCTGTTATTATTATTACTACGTACAGTTTATAAGCGACCTGCCTTAGCCTCGTCACTACTTCGTTGAGGTTAGGCTCGGCACTTACAGAGTACATGGGGTCAGTTGTACTCATACTACACTCTGCACTTCTTGTGTAGATACCGGAGCTGGTCCAAGCGGCGTACCGTAGACTTGCTCAGATTCAGCTACCCAAAGGAGACTTGAGGTATAGCTGCAAGGCGTCCATAGCTCTGAAGTCCCCTTTTACTTTATCTTAGCTGTGTATTTTCTCTCAGACAACTTTACTTTCATTCAGGCCTTTATCTATATTATTCTAGTAGCTCGTGCACTTGTGACACCAGATTTGAGGATGTATTTAGACATTTCAGTTGTTATAGTTTTCCGCACTTTATTTCAGTTTCATCACAGTTATTTCAGTAATTGACATCCATATGGAATTTGTTTTAAAATGGCTTAAGATTATTCTAACGTTGGCTTGTCTAGCAAGTGAGATGTTAGGCGCCATCGCGATCCCGAGGGTGGGAATTCCCGGTGCTGACAGTTTGTATCAGAACACTAGGTTGCCTAGGTCTCACTAGTCATGAGCAAGCTTAGTAGAGTTTGAATGATCGGTACGGAGACGTTTGTACTTATCTAAAAGAGGCTATGGAGTTTAGGAAAAAACATCACTTATTTCTTACTCTGTCATGCGATTTTTATCCTATCATTGATGTTTGAACTCTTCTATTCTTGTCCTCTCGCAGATGGTGAGAACACGCACTACATCTACCGCTGGATAGGAGCCATAGCCCCTTTATGACAGCTATGACTAGGGTTAGAGGCCGAGGCCGAGGCCGAGGTCGCGCCAGAGGCCGAGGCAGAGACAGAGCTCAGCCTAGAGCTCGAGCGGCAGCACCC